GGTTTTCAGCGATTGACGTCACTGCAAACCCATCTTGAGTACACGAGTCAAACACGTGTACATAGCACTCCACGTGGAATTTTTCTTCTTTTTTGGTRATGACTGCAGAAACATGCCAGCTTTTCCCTCTTTTACCATAGAAATCACTCATACGTTCTCGGTACTGTTGAGGCAGATACTTCATGGCCCAATCCATTATAATCAGACATGTATCATCTTCGAGATCCTGAAGCGCCTGCTGTTTAGCCTCGTCTTGATTGATAAGACGTAAGAGGTGAGATTTCCAGACGTTGATGCTGCGAACATACTCTGCAATCTCAAACTTTAGCCTTGCGCGCTGCTCCTCTGCGATGTCTACAGACTCAGCTTTTGAAGAAATAGCTTGTAGGACTCTTCTCAATGACTCACAGCTATCGCAAATAACATCGTGTTCGTGTTGGCAWTTCTTTTGAAAGGCTGCATTGTTGGGATCACTGAGAGCAAAGTTTRTACAATGGTCTTTGCAGTGTTCGTTGATACCGACATGTGCCTTGAAGCCAGCTTTGAGGTACCTTTTTCCCTCTTTTAGTTCTTTTTTGGTATCTTTCCCCCATTGTTCTCCAGCACCGTTATCAACCAGTGTGTCTATAACTTTCAGCAAATTATCAAAACTTTCGGTTCCCTCTGCAGTCATATTATCCAATCCTTGAAGAGATGTTTGCATAGATGCAGAACAAACTTCTATCATTCTCCATAGGGATCTCTCACTTGGTGGTTGGAAGTCTTGTTGATCACAGTACTCTTTATATTGTGTTATAATTCTTGACGGTATGGTTGTTCTAACAACTGCTGGGATTACGATCTTTTCTCCAGAGTCCAACGTCATTGTTTTTGTTCCGAATGCTACGTCCTGGATAAATTCAGGACGGGATATGTAATCAATAAAGTGATCGATCTTGGCTTGATCGATTCTTTGGTGAAACTGAGGTTCAACTGGAACTGGCTTTCCTTTTCCTGTCTGAGTAGCGTGTAGYCTTGCTTGGTCTATACGCCATTTAGAAAGACCAGGTATCATTTGCTGCAGTTGAGCTTTACTGAAGTCGTTTGCAAACAGKGACAGTATTTGTCGTTTGTTCTGCCAAGATTCTGCTATGAAGTAAGCCTGGACAAGGGAGTTCATCAGACCTTCGTTGCTATCAAAATTGGGCGTTGCAGGAACACCTGTTTGGGCATCAAGCTGTAAGTCTCCTTGCCTTATGGATTCCCATAACTCCTTTTCTTGGCCAGGGCTGATAACAGAAAGAGCACTTGTAACTATCTCCTTAGCCTTTCTGGAATAATATTTTTGCTGTGTCACTGAGATGTCGTTCCAGGAAGTATTTARCGTTGACAGAACTGGACTGATACGACCATTGCTTAACTGATTGACTGCCTCGTTCAATGTCGTTCTCTTTTCTTGTTGGAGCTCAATTTCGTCAACCCAAATGCTGACTTCTTGTTCTGAAAGGCTACTCTTTGAAGATTGGAAAGAGGTGGTGACTTCTTGCTCTGAAAGGCTACTCTGTGAAGATTGTGAAGAGCTGATGACTGTTTCAATTTCGTCTTGATACTGAAGAGGACTATCTGATGACGTTCCGGGTCCAGAAATATTGGTAGGCTGTGTAGTCGTAGATTCATGGTCCTGTGGCTGGTCAATAACATGAGGATTATGGTGCGCTTGTTGACCTTGTTGTGTAGCCTGTGAAAGAAAATTCATAGGTTGGGTTTACTCTTGCAGAATATGACTTGATCAATACACACGTGTCATACCGCATCAGCTTCCTTGTGTTGTGTTCTTTTCTTGTAATGGCTGTGGCGGCATCCATCACAAACAGCTAAAATGTTGATTTTTAAATAAAAAAGTGAATAATTCAAACAAGCAAAAATTCAATATAGCCAAATTCTCAGCGACATTAAATAACAAAAAGCCTTTTACGACTGCAATAGTTTGTTTTACAGGTGCAGATCTTACCACAGGGTTCCCATCACTTGGTATGACACCACACTGGTATCATTTATATACGGTAAATATATATTGAAAACAAAAGCATCGATGTCTAGCATAATATTGTCTAACATATATTTGGTTTTCAATCAATAATTTAAAACTTTCCAAATATCAAATGATACTGTTACTCTAGCAAGACCCCTAGCAAAGCCCGAGTAAATGCCCGTGATAGACAGCAAAAGGTCAATTTATCCCAATAAAAAATAATATTTCGCGTGCTAAAAACAATACGAAACACTTACCAGACCCTATTGGAACAACTGAGGTGAAGATTTGATAGATTTCTAGCGACATTTGCGCATTGATTCTTCGAGGACTCTTCAGTTGTTTTGGTTTCCCCAAATGTGCGGGATAAGAGCACGCCCGGCTTTTGCGACCCTGCCAATCCGCTGTTAGGCTTTTGCGGTGCTTTGGGCAAATAGTTAGTATTTCTTGTTGTTGACGTGTCAATTCAAAAAGGCCAGCTCGATTCAGAATTAACTCTCTTTCAGAAAGAGAGGCTTTTCCTCCTCCACGCTTACCAGTAACTTGAAGGCTAATCAAATGCGATGTCATGTCTAGATTACATGCTGATAATGGTACAATAGTAGAACCAATACCAGCAAGACCACATGGAGAATTTTCAGTTAGAAACGAGCAACTTACTTCTACCGCCATGATTGCAAAATGATCACTGAACACCAAAGGGTGTATTTCACAATGTTAGTCGTGATTGTCGTCATTGATTAGCAAATAACATGGTATTAATGGCGTGACAATGCTACTAAATGTTCAATACAACTGGAAAACGAAGTAGTTTATTTGCGTAGTTTTATAGTTTTAGCTGCAGTAGTTTTAATTTATATTCATTGAACTGAATGTGCGGAAAAAATCCCTGTGTACTTATAAATATATCAAACCTACTAGACTTATTTATGTGTTAGCAATTGCGTGACACTATTATCTGGTGTTTTATGCAAATTCAATGTCATTAGTTCAACAGATAGGAAGATAGTGCAGTGTAGCGGACATTATTTCTCAAGGAGTTCAACTGAAGAGTAAGATATTCTTAGAGATTTTTGTTTTTTTCTTTGGCTCTGAACGTATTTAGAATTTAAAAGTTAGGGATAACTTAAATGAACTGTTTTGAAATGGACGTGCATGTCCTAATGTTCATTCTGTCAAGATTACATCTATTATCATCGTATTATATGTCAGCTTATTATTATAAATAGTACAGAACACAAACAATCGATTAAAACGGTCCAATTTGAGTTTGAGTCTCTTCTGTAAAGTATTTGAAGCAAATAGCAATTGCAAGACTTGGAGTTACTGACGCCATTTCGTTAACCGCAAGTGAAATGTACGCGCACACATGGTCAAACTTAAGAGCGGCTCACGAACTTAATTTGTAAGATCCCAATTTCAACTTTGCAGTTTATTCATGACTAGGGCCACAGCTTTAAGATGATGTTGATTGCTTTGAAAAAAACTGCCGCACTTTTGAGAAAATCGTCTCTAAAAATGGCAAAAATTACCATGTCAAACCGGCACTGTTAGGTATGCAAATTTCTAAGCCGGCTGGAGATTTTGAGATTTTCTAAAATTAACTCATCTTTTCACCATAGAGAGCTTGTTTAATAGACTTTTACTACAAATCGTCAAAAAAGTCGAAAACGAAGTGTTCTTCCTTTTAGAAGTCGACAAAGTGAACGTAAAATCTTGCCTTCTCAAAGCCGATCTGGAGGCCAAAAC